TCAATTACTTCTTAATTTTCTTTCTTAATTCCTTTTGATCTTGTTCTACTAATCACTTACTGTAGTGGGTATGTTAAATTACTCCACTGAAACTGGGCATCTGAATTTTTGTAATGCTGCTTATTTTTCATTTATATTTACTTAAGGCAATAGGTTCACAACTATCATCTTATCCTGGTGAATTAGTCCTTTTATCTTTATAATGATCTTCTCTATCTCTACTTAGGCTTTGTTTGCTTAAAAGTGTTTATTTTGTGGGACATTAAATATGGCTTTGCCAGATTTAACTAGGCAGTTCCTGGTGCATCATTTTCCACATGCTTTCTTTCAGTGTGTCTTTTATGGTACATACTGGACTTAAAAAATTCTACTCAGTAAAAGAACCTCTGTCTATAAACTTCTGAGTTTAATTTACTTTGGTGTGATTGCTCAACTTATTTAAAAGTACTTACATCTATTTTTGTGCATTTTTTTTGGGGGGTACCTAGGATTGTACACAAGGCGAATAACCACTGAGCCATATCCTCAGCATTTTTTGTTTTATTTTGAGATAGGATCTCACTAAGTTCCTCAGGGCCACCCTAAGTTGCTGAGGCTGGCTTTGAACTCATGGCTATGTGCCACCACGCCCAGCTTGTGCATTCCATTCACCACACCTTTTCTGGTTTTGTTTCCATTATTCACCCTGCACCCATCACAGGGGTGAAGTTATCTGTTGTGCCCAACCACCCCACCCCAGTGTATGACTACAGTTGACTCTAGAAATACAGACTATTTCTTTTTGTTGTTTTGACCAGTAATTAAAAACCTTACTAAGAATTAAACAAGGCTGGTTTCTTTCATTGTTTTCCATATAGTCTATTTCCATTCTTTTAGTCTTCAATTTTTTCCCTATGATTATGAAAAATTTTAAACACACTAAAATCTTAAAAGAATTGTGCAGAGAATACTTTGTACCCATCACATAGAGTTACCTTCAATTTTTATCACATACACTCGATTGGAGGTAAAAAAAAAAAAAATTCATCAGCATCTCTCACTTTCTCCATACAATAAGATCTACACAGACTTTTACTTTGATAAACGTTTTCTACCATGTCTTTAAGAGGCCTGAAATTAGCCATTATTATAATGTTTTCTTGCTGCTGTTTCAAGACTTAATTCTTTATATCTATCTTCTTTTTTTTAATCAATTTCTTTGATCAACAATGCTTCTTGCATTAACTCTCCCCACCTCTCTAGAAACACTTCCCAGTAGTCCCCTAGCCTGCACTGCAACTTCCAGCATCCTCAAGAGAACATCCTGCATTTAAAACACAGCAAAAAGGTCAGACTTCACTGAAATCAGGGCCAAGTCCTGGCTCTCCCAATAACCATGTATATTTGCCACATAAACTGTGAACTTCAATACAGCAAATTACCAGCTCATGGTACCTGCTTGTACCTTCCCTATACCTGGCATGATGTGCACACACGCACGTGCGCGCGCACGCGCACACACACACACACACACACACACACACACACACACACAAGGCCTCAGTGCGTTAAGAACACATGCCATGTTGTCTGCCAGCATTTTCTGAACACAGAAAAGCATAAAATTAATACATGATTATTAGATTGTGTGTTGTATTTACTGTATGCTCCAATCAAGTGTCCCTTTCTGGGCCTCTTTGCAGGTGACCTAAGCAAAACTGTCATGTAGATAAAGCATATCAGACTCAATTTGGGAGACCTGGCTTTTTTCTGGCTTCCAGCTCTTGACAGTTTTGTGCTTTCTCTGTCTCCCTCTCTCTCCCTCTCTCTCCATCTCTCTCTCTCTGTCTTTCTTCTATTTCCCCCATCCATAGGGAGAGAATATATTAAATAATCCTAAAATCTCTATAAACTCTAAATCTTTTTGACTGATTTTCATTTTTCTAAATGAGTATCTTCACTAAAGTGGTACTGAGCCAAAAAATATTGAATAAAAATGAGAAATTATATCCCATCTATGTATGATATATCAAAATATATAAGTACATTCTACTGTCATATATAACTAATTAAAACAAATAAAAAATTTAAAAAAGATTGAAGAGTGGAGAAAACTGAAAGATTTTCATAAAAATATCCATATTATGCTGACAATGAACAAAAAGGCTAAGTAATTTTTTTAAAGAGAGAGAGAGAGAGAAAGAGAGAGAAAAAAAGAGAGAGAAAGAGAGAGAGAACTTTTTTAATATTTAATTTTTAGTTTTCAGTGGATACAACATCTTTATTTTATTTTCATGTGGTGCTGAGGATCGAGCCCAGTGCCCCGCGCATGCCAGGTGAGCGCGTGACCGCTTGAGCCACATCCCCAGCCCAATAATTTTTTAAAAACTTAAAAAGAAATATACTTGGTAAACACGCCCCTATATGCGTCGTTCACAAACTATGTGACTGAAATTTCTGGTGGCTGTATCTCTAACTTGGTCCTGTCACAAGTCCAAACTTCTTATTATATTTTTAAACTGTGAATTGTCCTGGTAGATAGCACACATGAAGGCTAGGTGGAGACAGGCATGAAGACTGTGTAACAGCTTGGCCAGGGGACAGCCCAGGTGAAAACAGGAGCCAACACAAATCAGGAAATTGTGACCTCACAGGTTTGTTCTGATGGAGAGGAGACTGACCTCCCCAGGAAGTTCTACCCGCACAGGATGAGCAAGAACACGCACAATTAAATACCTACATTAAATGGACATGCTTCATTACATAGACCAGATTTGGTCTAATTAAAAAGTAAATCAAATTTGTGGGGAAAGATAATTGTTACCAGACATGATAAGCTTATTTTAATTTAGAATCAGAGTAAGGGTGCACATACCATTAGAGGCAGGAGCTTCATTTCATAATCTTAGGGGAAAAAAATCGGACATAACTGTGCTCTCAGATTATGAAAAGAAGCCTACTTTTACTGGAGTGCAAGTATGCAGCATAAATAGGACCACAAACTGCAGCAGACACTGTTCAGACCAATCCCGACACCCTGAGATTAGGAGATTGGTCAGTAGTTTCTGTACAAGTGGTCTGCAGCACAGCGACAGTCACATGTCTTGGTTGGTACAACAAAGACACCAGGAAAAAGACTGAAGGAGTTTTTTAATCACATTTTCCACATCTACCATGCGAAACACTGCTTTCTTCATTCATAAGGGGGTGAGTGCTAAGAAAGAGTTGCTCCAGTGCACATGTGAAATGACTATTGGCATCACCCAAGCACCTAACAAATGGCTGTGGTTAGATCTCAGTTTTACCAGGGCCATGTGTTTACAGGAATGAAATTCTGGAACTAGGGAAAGCTTTGATGTACAGTTTTCTGGCTTATCAGCCTTCCCTGAGTTTTCTCCCATTCTTCTTCAGTCTCTCTAGGAACAGAAGTAAAATGTCATTTCCTCCAAGGCCTAACTAGTTCCTGGCTGTAATCCTCAGACTTATTGACGCTGGATGTATCTTAGGAACCAGCTGTGAGGTCCTGTAGAAATGTGAAAACCAGTAATGGAACATCTGCACACGGCTTTCAGTATGGTGTCTGTGGTGTCACAGGACAGAGGGGAAGGCTTCCTGAGGCTCTTGCAGACAGCCAGACCAGTTGTGAAAAATGGGCCCTGAGGAATACTTGGCTTGATGACTCTTGGGGAACACAGAACAGACTATGGGACAGGAATTGCTCAAAGCCACTCCCAGACTCAAGGTCACTATAAGTATATTGTAGGATGAAGCATCATTTTGGAAAGGCTCCTGAAGTTCATTAACTCAATTGTAGAGGGTTTGACATTTTTCTTCTACCAATTCAGTTTAGACTAAAGAGTATGTTGACTAAGCATTGTCTGCCACCAGGAGAAAAAAACAGGCTTTCTTCTCATTCAAGGGCATAGGCTGGTCACAATTATTTTCCACCAAAGTAAAAGTGGGGTCAAAGGACAAATAAGCTTTTGCATTACCCTCTGCCTTCAATCTACTTGAACTGACCACATGGATGACCTCCTCAGCACATTTTAAACTGGCCACATCCTCTAGAAATGTTCTTGTCCTCCACCGCCTGTCAGCATTCACATCAGGATCACACTTCCAAGCCCTCTACAGGCTGCACTTGAGGTGACTGTACAACACTGACCTCCATGAGACTCTTGGTGATTTTTTGTTGTTGTTGTTTTTGATCACCTATGTGTTTCATTTGCATTAAGAGGGAGCAGAAAGGAAAAAGGGGGATATGGGTAAGGAAAAGAGGAGGAAGACATTCATAAAATGCTTGGAAAAGTTCTCAAAACAGAGGGGAGGACAATCTCAGACACATAGCTGCCTGTTAGTAGCTAGGATTGTCCTGCTGGCAGAACTAGGAATTCCAACCTTAATGCCTGTGCCCTGTGGGGCCATGATGAATCTTTAAGATCAGCTTTCTCTTGAAATTTAAGTCCAAAGTCAGATGAAAAATGTGCCCATTATTTTATAAATGAGAACCAAAGACCAGATGGAGAAAGGAGTGGAGCAAGTAGTTCACATGCACATCACATTTTCAAAGCAACAAAGAATTTGTAACATTGTAACAAAGCACATGTATCTCTTTTATTACACTCTGTTGTTCTAACATAGTCACAAGCAACTCAAGATGACAGAATGTGGTGCAGCATGAATAAGCATCGTGCATAGGTTATTGTAGGAGAGAGTAAGCTCCTCAACTGTGGAGATACCCAGTGGGCAACAGTCAATGGTGTGTGTGGGGTGCCACTGAATCGCCAGCAAACAGGAAAGCACTGTTGCTGGATCTCAGAACACACCACCTTTACACTTGCCCAACAGTGTACTTCTGGGCTTCTTGCTTTCCCTAAGGTCCACAAACTTGATCATAAAACCAACCAAGGGAAAGCTAACACATTCTTACAATCAACTCGAATCAGGCATTTTAGGTATTTCACTGAAAAATAAAAAGGTAAAGGAAAAAGGTGAAAAGAGAAAAACAAAGGGTCACTTACTCTAAGAATCCAGGCTTATGTTTATGTTCTACATGAGGTCCAAACTGTATCTGAGCTTGGAATCCACCAAATTCACAGGCTTTTTCGAAGGATACAGGGTGGGAGCCGTTCAGGATATCATCCCGTGCCTGAAACAGAAAGGGCAGGAAAAGCCTCAGCGGCCTGGGTGAAGACAATTCTCCCCATGGACACATTCTTGCTCTGTGGAGCAAGGAAAGGTGCTGGACACACCCAGGACCCAGTGGATGGCAGACAGGAATATAGCAGAATGAAGACAGAAGGAGCAACTAGTCTTTTCCTAGAGTGGCCAATATCTAGACAGCCAGGGCCTGGCAGATCAAAAGGAAAGCTTGTTGATGATCTAAAAGGTAGAAGTGATCATGACAAACAAAGGCAAAGGAAAACCCTGGTAAAAAGATCAGATTCACATAGGCTGAATCAGAAACACAATTTACTTTTTAAATGAACTTAAATCATAAAGGTAGCAAAACCATAAGGAAGCAAAACCAATTCAACCTTTATCCTAAGGTAAATAGCAATACAACATAAGGAGAGAAGGAGATAGATGGACTCATGTGCGTGAACACATACATACTTCCCTGGACGTTTGGGGAAGGACAAGTTCTCCATCCATTGCTATGTTGCTCTTCGTTTCTTCTGTCTTTCCTTTCTCCAGTTACATGACCCCACACCATCCTTAGATCTTTTGGCTATCACTGTGGACCTTGAACCTACAAGCATCTTCTCTCCGCCTTTCTATCTCCCTTGCTCCCAGTCTTTTTTATCTCTCAGTCCTCTTTCCCTGTCATTCCTTTCATCCACTAATGCAGAGGTCAGTAAACATTTTCTCTAAATGTCCAAATGTTAAACATTTAAGACCTTCAGGGCCTTATGGTCTGTGTTGCGACTACCATCTGTGTTGCTCTGCCATCACAAGGATGGTCACAGAACATATGGAAAACATAAGGGGACTTACCAATATCTCACACTTTAAAAAAAAGGAGATGTTTACTTCCCAATATAGGCAGAGAGTATGGCTGCAGGATACAACCCTTGCATTATTTCCATGGGCAGATAAGTAAATAAATAGAAGTCTGGGTGAGAAGAAAGTGGCAGAAATACAAAAGATGTTTTCCTTGAGCTGAAAGAAACTTGGAGACAATCTAGTGCAAAGTCCTCATCTTATATGCTGGGGAAACTGCAACTCAAATGTGTTAAAAGACTTTTCTGAGTTAAAACAATTAGTTCATGATAAAGACATGAAAGGTTATCTGAAGCGCTAGCTATCATTTACTGAGAAGTACTGATTTTTTGACTGATACTCTGGTGTTCTAAGGTGCTAATAGAGCTGTAGTGTATTTGGAATGGTGAGCCAGTTAAAGGAACACAACTGCCTCTCAAAGCCAGGCAGAGGACAATGCCCACCACATCCCAATCTGGTAAGCTGAAAAGAACCCAGAAAGGCATTCTTTGGACGTCCAATAGCTCACACCCAATACCAACCTGCACCACCACCAAACATGAGGAATCCAGAGCAGCATCCTTCGAAAGCAGATACTGTAAGGCTATGGGAGTCAGAGCCAGACTCCTGCTCCCCAGAGACCCAGCCAGGAGATTCCTAAAAGCTCACATTCTCAGTATCTGAGCAGGAAATGTTGTACCTGGACATAAAGCAGATTCAGCTGCACGGGGTCTCTCGAGTCTACATTCTGATCAGAGTAGAAGAACTTCCGCCTAAGCAGCAACGTCTCATTTTCATCCACTCCTTGTTCTCTGAATGTTCGGCTGTGATCGAGCCAATTTACTACAACACAAGACATAGGAAAGAACTGTGTTTATATTTCCTCCTAAGTGAAAGGAATTTACCAAAACAGCAGTGCAACGAAGACATGGATTTCTATAATGCAGATAGCCATAGATACTTCTTACATTAAAATTGTGCTTTTTAACTTCACTAAATAATTTCACATCTACCATATGACTGATCAAAAGGCAAATGAGGGAGAAAATCCCCAGCCACTCCTAAAGTTAGGTTAAGCACTACAATCAATTTATAATATGTTTCTCCCCTGGGTGAGAATAAGGAAACAGTGTTCTGTGCTAAGAACTCAAGTCAGAATTTTCCTTTAAATCAAGAGTAGATGCTACAGTTTCATCTAGTGAAGGATTTCAAAGACACTGATTATAACAAGTTTACCTCTGACTCCAAGTAGAAAAGGAAGAAAATGAGTCATGGAGGGAAACCAGACCACTAAAGGGTGGAGATGGCAGACACTACCCCCTACCACCCCCCGACCAAGACCAGCTTGAATTTCTGTCAGAGAAACTTATCTACCATCTAGGTGCAAGAAATCAATCACTTCCCTAAGCACGTCCACAGCACTCTCCTTCATTCCTCTCTGGGTTTAACATATGTGGTGAGGGTAGGGATTTACAACCTGCCTCACTAAATTCTAAGCAACTTCAGCATTCGGAATGTGTCGGATAGACCTCACTTCCCCAGCACCTGGGAGAGTATTGTGCACACATTAAAAAATCCTTGGGATTTGTCTACTAAAATCTCTTGGAAAGAAGTATGTAACTGAAAATCTAATGAGGCAGTAAGAAAAGGGAATAGAGAAAGTGTCAGAGGAAATGAAGGCCCCACCAAAGATCAATAAACATAATGACAGTGATGATGTCATCCCAGCACTGCGGCAAGAGCAAGAACAAGGAGGTCTGAAGGCCCAGGTGACCTGTGTGATGAATTAGGATGCTCTTGGTGGAGGGTGGGCAGCAGGACACATACAGCAGGCTTGCTGGGGCATGTGCGATTATATGCCACCTTTCCATGGATTAACGAAGTGGCTGTGAAAAATGATTTTCCTAAGATAAAATTTTATCACTGATTTTTAAACATTTAGGAAATAATGGATCTAAACAATACTCACAGAGGGCTGGTAACATGTTGGTAACATGTCTCCCCCTCACCAAAAGACAATCAGAAACAACTTCATTAATACACACATGTACATAAACAAGCTTCCAGATCTAAGAGAGTAAAAGAGACACAGGGACATGTTGCATGACACCAGAGGTGTGCAGTCACCAAAATCCACAGTGTAGGAAATGCTATACAACTAACCAGGTTTCTTCACACACACACATACACACACACACAAATTGCAAGAAAATAATTAAGAGATTGAGAGGGAACTTACTTCATTAAAACAGTTAAGTGGTACATCAGCCAACCTTATTTGGATCACAGTTAAAACTATTAATAAAGATTGAGAATGTAATGGAGAAAATGCAAACACAATTTATATATTTGATATAATGAAATTTTTTTTAGATCTGAAATGGTATTACAGGTTTTTTTGTTTGTTTCTTTAGAAGTCTTCATCTTTAGTGACACAAGCCAAAATATTTACATATTATAAATCCCCCAAATCCTGCCTTGGGTCATGGGATGGTGGGAGAGAATGAGGCGTAGCAGAGCCTGGGTGTTCCTTGCTCCCCAAACACTTACAGTCATCGTCTGTGTGAAGCTTGGCCTTCAACTTCTCCATCTTCCTCTCATCTCGTAACAGCGTCCTATCTTTTTTAAGTGTACCCGTTCCTTCCTCTTTCTTTTCTTCAATGGTTTCTTGGATTAAAGAGTATTCTTCATAATTCGTTATTCCTAACAATAGAAATTAGGTTATAATTCTCAATGATTAAACTTCTGTCAATTCCTTCCATATAGGGCTTGAGATACTGTAGAGAGTCTCTGTTGGCGGAGGACAGAAAGAGACTTTCCTCACATGTGGACCGGAAGCCACATGTCAATGAAGGATCTTCAGCTGGTGAAGTCACATTGGAAATGCCAGGTACAGTTCTCTAGACTGATATTTGAGAAAAGAGAACAAAGTAGAGGCCGCGCAGAGGATGATGACAAATAAGTGTGTGAAGGAATTGAGTATGCTTTCCACGAAGAGGAAACTAAAATCTACAAGGTGACTTTCCAAATATTTGAAGGGCTTCATGTGGGAGGGAGGCAGAGTTGTTCTGTAGGGAGACTAACAGAGGGTACAAGAAGAAAATCTATCTGGGAGTTGATTACACAGGCCATTGGCATGAGTATTCAAGAAGATCCTGGACACCAATGATGTTTGCATACAGTGCCAGCATCAGGTCAGGGTGAATACATCCTTAAAAAACTACTTTCCATGGAGAAATCTCTTTTTGTTTTCTGAGAGGGAAATAAAAGCCTTCAAATGTGACTTAGTGAGAAGTTCACATGTTTGTAGTACCAGTTAGTGGATTGACAAATCAGAAGAATGGACACACTCTCTTGGGATTGGGCCTAATTTCAAGTGTTAAGGCATTTTTAAAATTCCCTAGACATCAAATTAGAAGTGGAAAAGAAAGGAGGCGAGTTATTAAAAACAAAGCAAAAACAGACATGAGCTGTGGGTGTGCTCACCTATCCTGCTGCAAATGGTGACCAGGAGCTCCCCCACCGTCTTGGAGTCATCCACCATCACTGTTTTCACAGACCCATCGAGCATCCGGATTTTCTGAGGCCTCTGTTTCTTTTTATACTCCAAAATATCCTAGACCACAAACCATTTCACAAGAGTCAGAAAATAGGTTACAACTTTGAACATTTTTCTTTAAAAAAAAAAATGAGTGCCCAGTAGATGCTATTTCCTTATTCTTTCAAAATAATCCTTTGTTGTCCTGGGGTTGCTAATGCTCTGCTATGACAGAATCTCCAGTGCAAATAGTTGTTCTGAGAAAGATTTCTTAAAAACCTGGTAGTGAAACTGTACCTCAAGAAGGAGTACCTGTAGCTCAATGACTGAAAACTACCCTCTTTAGAATAAATGTGGCCTGTGTTCTGTGAAAGGTAAGAGTTGAATTAATGAGAATTAGCAGAGGGAAATGCATGCCAGCCCTTTTCAAAAGATGGTAGTGAGGGGCTGGGGTTGTGGCTCAGTGGTAGAGTGCTTGCCTAGCATGTGTGAGGCACTGGGTTCAATTCTCAGCACCATATATAAATAAATAAAATAAATTTCATCAACAACTAAAAAACTATTTTTTTTTTTTAAAGAGAGAGTGGGACAGAGAGAGAGAGAGAGAGAGAGAGAGAGAGAGAGAGAGAGAGAGAGAATTTTAACATTTATTTATTTTTTCTTAGTTCTCGGCGGACACAACATCTTCGTTTGTATGTGGTGCTGAGGATGGAACCGGGCCGCACGCACGCTACCGCTTGAGCCACATCCCCAGCCCCTAAAAAACTATTTTCAAAAAAGGTGATAGTGAGTATCTGCCATGAAAAATATTTGCTACCCATATATATAAAAATTATTTATATAATTTTACTTGAAAACTGTTTACTATATTTGATTTTTACATAATAAAGGACATAAGCAATATCCCCATAATTCTTCACAGGGCATATGACAGTAGGAGTGGTTTTCACAAGAGTGAAGTGACATATAATAATGGTAAAAACAATCAGGGCTAGTAAGTTTTGGAGTTTTTGTTTTGTTTTGTTTCGTTCGTTTGTTTGTTTTTAAGAGACCTCTTTCTTACTACTTAACAATAAACCTATGCAGGGGAAATTAATTAAAATTAATTAATCAAATATTTCACTCCAATTTATGGCATGCTGGCCAATTTGATAGGTCCAATTCACACAAAGTACCAAAACCCCCAGTATCTTATTGGCTAAGTAGAACAGAATATTCAACATGTCTTTACTCACACCCTCACCCCCTTCCACTGAACAACTCCTTTGTTGTTACTATTACCAATGGTTATTAAACATTCATCTCCAATTTGAAGTTTCTTTTTTTGGGTACCAGGGATCGAACTCAGGAGCACTCAACCACATCCCCAGTCCTGTTTTGTATTTTATTTAGAGACAGAGTCTCAATGAGTTGCTTAATTAGAAGTGGGAAAGAAAGGAGGGCCTTGTCCCCACTACCATTAAACTAGGGAAAGAGGTTGGCTTTGAACTCACGATCCTCCTGCCTCAGTCTCTCGGATTACAGGCATGCGCCACCACACCTAGCTGAAGTTTGTTTTTTTCAAAAACAAAACGGTAATTACTATTCCGTCTTAGACTATCAGACTATCTTCAGGATTACACTTTGTTCTCCCTCCCATCTAGGCTTCTGCTCCCAGCCCATCCAGGACTGCTTAACATACTAACCCAACCTGTTTCAATCTCTCTGTGTAATTTCAAGAATCTGGATTACTGATATTTTCTCACCACCTGGACAATCTCAAAAGTACACTTCATGGAAACTATTAGCAAGACACCCATGAATCAAAAAAGTGTAATGATGTTGGCTTTCAACAAAGGCCCAGATACAAAGTGACAGGGAATCAAGTCAGTACCAGCTGCGTACCCCATTTCGCAACATGTAGTAATCCAGTGTTCTGCCTGCTTCCAGCCAAATCCCTTTCCTGGGGTCTTCATCCGAAAGAAACAGCCCATAGTCAGAAGCTGGAACATAAACAAAAAGAAAAGGTGGTGACCAAGTCATCAATGGTTTCCAGGCCCAGAGCTGGTGGACTCGGCGAGGATGTGGGTGTTCTCTTTCACTAGAGAGACCTGTTCCCTTTTGACAACACATATAGACATGATACCTAAGCAGATCAGGAGGAAGAAGAGTTGAGTGACAGAAGCAATACTCCAAAATAAGGTTCACGTTTCCTAGGATCAGTGGGCTAGAATTGTCTGAAATTTAGGAAAACCTAAGACAAAGCACTTCCAGTTTCCTTTTAAATACACTTGACTGTGTTCTCTAATCTTAATGTAAAAATAAGATCAAGAACCCATGGAGAAAGAGAAGAGAAACTGAGGAAGTGGCCCTCCAAGCCTGAGGCAAATGGGGGCAGATGGGCCTTCATGCCCTGAAAGATACCAACAGAGCATGCTAGAAAGGTATGGCAGGAATTGTTGGAAAGTTAAACTCTATGTTCTCTGTAGAAACTCCTTATTCCTCCCTAGGAAGTCCAAAGGGAGCAGGAGCAGCTTATTCTCCTGAAGACCTCTCTCTTCCTTTACGTAATTAAGGAAACCTCAGAGACCCAGAAGAGCATCTGAGCTTCTTCTGCTTCCCAGGAAAACAACTTCCAGGTCTTTAACAGTTTATACCTTCACCAGACCTTATGGAAATCTGGCCCCCCAAGTTTTTTTAAGATGTTTATTTATTTATTTTTTTAGTTGGAGTTGCACACAATAACTTTATGTATATGTGGTGCTGAGGATCGAACCCAGGGCCTCGCACGTGCTAGGCAAGTGCTCTACCACTGAGCCACAGCCCCAGCTCCCCAAAAAAGTTTTTTTAAAAATCTGAGAGAAAAGAACAAAAAAGGAACCAAAACATAAGCCATCAGAACTGACTGGTCATTCAGATCTTAGAGTAAGGTGTAAAGTGGGGCTGTCAGCAAACTTTTCTTTTTATTTTGGAGTACCCTAGAAACAGCACAGCATTTTGAATAACATCAGTAATACTTTCAGACCAAAGGATCAGAAATTTTGTGAAAACTGGATGTTCTCCAAAGGCCTGTTCTTACTTATCATCAACTTTGAATGCTACATTTGACTATTATCTTTCCAATTTTTTCTGGAAAATTTTACCTAATATCACACTAAAGGCTTCTCCACTTAATGTGACCCTGATTTCTCAACTTTAGTCAAATCAACACCTAAATAAGGAAAGAGAATGTGGAGAAAAGAAAACAGGAGAAGTAAAGTCAATTGAATCAAGGGTTTCTGCTTAAACTCAGATTAATGGGGGCAGTGGCTTACTCAAACACCAAACATAGTATATTACAACACACCCACTTCACTGGTTTTTAAGATGTGAGAAAAAATATATAAAGCTCCCTTCAAAGGGCTTGTACTATAAGAGTTGCCCTGCGTTCTGATAGCAGAGAAAAGTGTTCCTGCACGTGGAACAGGGCTCAGGATATAAATAACCAATATGTGTCAGGGCAGATTTGTTGTCCTTTATTGGGCAAATGAAATGATATATCAAAAAGTGGTTTGTAAACTTCAGAGCACCATGCTGACATGTGGGAGGGTCAAGATAAGAGGTATGACTTGAGATCCACACCATCGATCACAAGCCTCACACAGGAAGCAAGGAGTATCCAGTCTAAGAAGACATTTCATTTACAACATACACACTAGGAAACACATGCACACTCAGAGTATCTGTTCCTTCGCTATAGAGTGAAGAACATAGATTTTCAGAAGCTAGTGAGTAACCCACGACCCACCTTGTCCTGTTTGTGCCTCTGGTACCCGTTCCCGAATGACTCGGCAGGCATCATAGACAGCTGTAGATGGTTCAAACTGCATGGTCTTCACCACATTGCAATGGCGGACGCAAATCTTTAAGGACAGGGCCACCATTTTCCCAGATGACTTGAAGGGTCTCACTTAGAACTTCTGGAAAACACAGAGAGGCAAGCCCTGATGCTCACAATTATAGGAAAAAACAAACAAACAAAAACAAAACAAAAAAACACCAAAGCAACAAAAAACACAAAATACTGAACTCAAGTCAATTCTTAAAATCCACCATCCAGATTGACCCTCTGTGAAGTCCTTCTGACTGCTGTTTACATTCTGAGTGAATTTTATCTGCGAAAATATTTCTTATTTGAGGAATGTGAAGATACACTACTCCTTCATTAACAACAGCATTTACAAAGAATCTGCCCAAAATCAAATCAATTTTTTGTAGCCTGGGCAGTGGTAGGATTGCTGACATATTAAGAGAATTTCAAAATATCCAATAAGTTTACATTTGCAATATTAAGGACTATATAAGCCATATATAACATCTCCACGTCACCCTTCTTTTTATAGGCATATTTAGCCAATTCTCTTCCCAATTTGGGGCAATGAAATTTAAACTCTAGAGATAAATGGACAAATTTTCTGTGTTGTAGATCACTCTATGGGTTGTTTTGTCCCCTGAAGCTGGTGACAATTGCAGGGTTTCCTGAACTGCTGAGATCTATAAGCATGGCTGGTTGTAACCCTCAGTGGGGAAGGCCACAGTCTTTGATGTCATAGATGCTGTTTATGGAATGCAGCAGAGAGGATGGGATGTCTAATCCCTTTCTTTCCCCAGGATGAGTATTATAAACGTCATTGCATGAAGGCTACCTTTCTCATGCTGAAAATTGGGCTTTCACAAGAGCAAATGACTGCTCCCCTTCTAGCATTCAGGGAGAGATTCCCTTCTGAAAGGGAAGACTGAGCTATAATGTAGCTTCTGGGAGCAGAAGGCAGAATGGAATGGAAAACTGGAGCCCTGGAGGAGGCGGAGGACACAGACAGGAGCAGTGAGCCCTGAAGGACATAGCAAGCCTCTGGGGTACAGTCACGAGGATCACAGGAGAGAAGCTCAGAGAGCTGGGAAGCAGATGGCTAGGAAAGCAGCAAAATAAGATAACATGATGGGGAAATTTGTCCAAATTAACTGGACAATGAAGGCTACTGAAGATACAGAAGGGAGGGGGTGGTTCTTGGGATGCATTCTATGGACAGGTGGAGCTATAACCCAGGTAGAAGACACTAGAAAAACTAGGGAGTGAGAGATGAGAATTGTGGACTGAGTCAGATAAGATGAGGAATGAGACAACAATTGAATCTGGCAAGTCAGTGGTCTCTGGCAATGGTGATAAGAGGGCAGGGCCAGAATCTGAGTGCAGCAGTGGGTTCAGGAGATAGAGGCGAGGGGCAGGCTCTGTAGGAACAAACTCATCTCCTGAGCAGACTTACTGGGAGGGGAGCAGTGTGGGAGGTTCAATCTTATGCTTTTTGAGGCTTTTTAATCTCAAAGTGCATATCAATTCCATTAGGAAGTTACCCATGTAGACACAGTTTCCACCTTATTATAGTGACCGAGGTAGGGTAGCCAAAGGCTACTTCTCACCACACACTATCTCCACTCCGGGTCTGGCTCATGTTGCTAACCCTGGGTCTTTGGAGAGGAGGGGAGCTGGAAAATCTTGGTCCATGGAAAAGGTGCTGGATAGAAAGATTGTGATCCAAGTTCAATCTCAAGCTGGCAATGCCTTGGTCCTCCACACCCATCACTTCTCCTCTCTTGCCCTTCAGACAGCAGGAAGCAACCAGTTCTGATGGAAGGAGCTTCTTAACAAACTCAATGCTTAGCCAACTATTCTCATTGGATTCCCACATATCATCCTAATACTTGATGAGGGAGGCCATAGAATGGAGGCAAGGTCATGGTAGATGGTCAAAAGAATGAGGAGTACCAGATATTAAGTATATGTTCTCAACTTTCAAATCACCCCAAAACAAGTATAGCTCAAAACTATCACTATTACTACATGGGAACACATTATAAAAGAAAAAAATAAAAAAGCCAAACAAATTACTCTCAAAGGGCACTGCGCACAGGTCTAAGAGTAAAAAACCCTAGTATCCGGCTCCTTATTTTATTAAGTTTTCCCAAGCATAAAACAAGACCAAAATTTATTTCACAGAAATATTTTTAAAACAAAGAATATAAAGAAATGCTTATAAACTAAAACTTTTAAAAATAAAACAAAGCATTTTTATCATTATCTTACAAGATGGTAACTCACATGGCCAAACCTAGATGAGGTCTGAAGTCAATGTGTTGATTTAGTCACTATCTCACAAAACCTGTAGCACTGAGCTGTTTTTAGCACCATTCATGACAGAATAAGATTCTATTCAAATTGAATACCTGTTGGCATTAAGTACTTTGCTTTATCCTATGGCAAAAAGAGAGTAGCAACTTAGAAATGTCAACTTAAAATGAATATATGTTTCCAACATTTGGGAGAATGTGGCCAGAAGGCCACTCAGGTTCCAACATCCACTACACATCCTGAGCAAACAAGGCAGCTCAGGCAACAGTCTTGATAAAGATGTGTGTTCCTTCTGCATTGTCACATTTTTCTGGGCAGCACAGCATTGTGACAGCTTGCAACTGACATTGGTTTTCACTTCTGTATCCTAAGCCCTCTGCTAATTCCTACTTCTCCAGGCTTTTTAATGGTGCAGACTTAGGAATGATCAGGTTTCTTTTTCTGGTTTGGCTACAAGGAAGCTCAGAGTCAAATTTGTGCGTAAGTGCTTGTAGTGGTGTTACTTTCTAATCCCTGCCTCTATTTTATGACCCTATTCTGGCTACTCTTTTTCCTTTTACCCCAATTTGAATGTATGTTTTCAGAATAAATCTTAAGACTTTTTCTTTTCTTTTACCTTTTGGTAAAAGACAGAATATAAGTTTGTGAAATTCACATTATTTTTCCTTTCATAATCTCTTTTCACTCTGACCATTTTTGGGCCCTTGTTATATGTGTGAAGGTTACTCGGACCAATACAGAAACTATTCTGTAGCATCTGTTGGAGAAGATGAGCCAATGGAACCAATGGTGAAACCCAGACATCCTCCTTTTAAAATAAATACTTCTTACTCCCAGGGTGCTGTAAACAGCCCAGGAGGCCACTCAGGTTCACCCCAGTCCACCCAGAGACAAACAAGCTCAGCTCCAGCCAAGGCCACCTCCTCTCCAAAACAAATGCCCATCATTGGTCAAGATGAGCAACCACCCCTTGGATTTCAGCCTGGTAAGTGAGGGCCATGCAATGCTCCCTGCCTTACCAGCTGCACAGCTCTGAGCTGGTTACTTCATTGGTTATCAGCTGCCTCAGTTTCCTCCTCATTGAAATGGGGGAGAATAATAGATCTACCTATAAGGTTGCTAGTGAATTAAATAAATTAAATTCATAAAAGGCATGAAGACAGTGCGAAGTTTAGGATTTGTTATTAACGTTACTGATGGGGATTGGAGAAACACTGGAAGCAGCATACTTCTGTATTCAGCTACATCTGAGCTGCAAAATTCATTTATTCTTTATCCTGCATCTATTACATTCTAGTCATTATAACAGTCATTAGGGAATAATGATAGACAAAATTCCTGTTCATATGGAGCTTTACCTTCTAGTCAGTCCTTGGTTCAATACACAGATTCTGTGCCATCTTTTATGCAAGACACACAACATGCCTTTTTCTAGATACAGTGCTAGCTGAGGATGAGCTGTGAACCTGAGTGTGCTTGCGGAGCAATTCTTAGGTTGTTTTCTTGGAGATTACTCAGATTCCCCCAACCCAAGGGCTCAAGAGGAAAAAAATTCTACTAGCCACACAGCATGGCTGGCATCACAATCAGTTCCTACCTTATAGTTAGTTTGTCAATAAATTCTGCCCAGTGTTAACCTAAGGGAGGCACTGCTGGGGCTCTGCACACTCCTCTGTAAAGCAGAGGTGCTGGGTCACTTGGCAAGACTGGAGGACCAGGTGACCTCATCTCAATGGGGCCTCTAATCTACAGGACAGTAAGAGCTGGATACATCCCCATTCCCTCTCCATTATTACCCACTGGAAGGATACTGCACTTAATAGTGGATGGCTATATCTGCTCTAGAGGTGTTATATTGCCCTGTTTGATAACTGCATGTATCACATAACCAAATGTCCTCATAACAAAGAGGTCTTTATAAACCTATCCTTCAACTGTGTTTACATCTCAAGCTCCTATGAGCAATTCTAGTTTCTCAAAGCAGTGCCCAGCAAAGAGCTTTCCCTTCTCTCCAGCTCTTACCTGCTCCTCTGTAAGGGAGGAGTAGTTCCTCTAGCAGGTAAGAACCCACCATGCACTGGGTCATAGCTACACAAAGGGCCCGCAAAAGCCAAAGTTTTACCCTCTGTATTGCTCTCTAGGCTGTCAGGGCTCATATACTTGAATACTCACCTTGAGCATTCAGACTCCATACACTTGTGCACACTAGGCACAGCCAGGGGTGTACCAACATCAGGAAAATAGGTCAAGTCAACCCTTCCCTGCAAGATGGCTGTCTTGTATTTAAAAAGGGACCAGCAGACAGGCAGCTGGAGATTCCCTATGGCCTCTTCTCCTGTCTAGCTCTATCAAGGAGATGCATTTTCTATGAATTCTCTGGCTCTCCTTAACAACCTTGTCTTCCCTCCTACCTCAACAGTGCCCTTCCTACCCATTCTCAAATGGTGAGAACCCAGAGGGCAAAGCCTTAGTGGAGCAGCTCCCCTTATCTCCACATCTACAATTTGTAAAGGCGCTAATTATAAGCTCAGGGAAAACAGCAATGCACACAAGTGACATGATTTTTCCATGTGACTCCTACCCATGGTCCAAGACAATCATGCTCCCCTCCGCAGCAAAATAAGGTGATAGAAAACCTCATTAGTTTTCTTCAAAGAGGCAAGAGAGGCCAAGACTACTGTTTGACTTTGAATACTTCAACTTGAAGTAACCATCATTAAAAGTCAATTGGATAAGTAGCACAGGAGAAATGATTAGCTACCCAATGAGTGTGAACAACAGGCTAGATAGGAC